AGTCTATAGAAAGCAGTGATGACTAAGGTACATTATGGTGGGACAGTGGTAAAAATGTCCACTGATAAAACATTTAACCTTTCCAGTGAATGTGATAGTGCAGGTGCAGCAGATTTGAAAAGAAGGAAAGAGCCAGGAAGATGTCACTTCAGTGCATGTTGGTACTGTATTTCATTCATTTGATTTAAAAAACCATTCTAGAGCTAAAACAGTTAGCAATTGTAAATATAAGGAAAAGCAGATGACTTGTATTTTTCTTCCCATTCGGATGAAAACTGGGAATTGGTGATTCTAAAGATTATATACAAACATTACAATATCATAAATCATATAAACACACTTTGACAAGTTGAAACAATGCTTTTTGCAGTATCTGCATGGAAAAGTGGCAATATTCATAAATAAGCACAAATCTCATAGTGGTTAATTAGACTATTAGAGCAGAATTTCAGCTGACATAAATACCTTGATGACCACTCTTCACACTGGCATGCTTGGAATCAAGATTATTTCCCTTTTGTTAAAGAGGAACAAACTTATACTGAAAAATCTGAGGAACCAACTATATTTCTTGCTATGTTTGTAAAACAATCTGTAGATGAATCAGGTATTTTCTGGGTAGGTTTAATCAACTGATTTTGTTAATATTGGGATCCATTTCAGTACTTTATTTTTACCTCTATATGCCTCACTAGAAGATTCTCATTCAAAGGGGGCATTTACCAGCAAATAAACAACTTTTAAGCTTAACAAATGAGGAGTGGAATGATGTAAGCAAATATTTTGCATCATTATAATTCAGTTTTAGGGAAATGAAACTAGTAGGCGCTCTTAATACTATCGGTCATTATAGAGCTGCACATTGAGACGTTGAACAAGCCAGATAATGGCCAAAAGCCAAGTAAGATAACGAGCTAAGCCTGAAACTGAAAAGAAACTGTTGAACATATGAGAAACGACCATAAATGACTGAAGGGCTATGTTCCTTTAACTGATATTGCCATCAGATAAAAATAATACATTCTACTGTTTTCACATGCAGTTGCAGCAATGAGATTGCAACTGCTAGAGTGTAAATACTTTTTTGTATTTATTGGTCAGTGAGTTCCTTCATATTGCTAGGAAATTAACAGTTGTAACCAACCAAGCAAATAAAAGACACATGACACAAGAAAACAACTATACATCAGATTCCAACTGGAAACATTAAATATATAAAAGTGCCTTCAACTTTGGCCCTTTTTTCTAAAAATTTCACAGCAAATGTAAGTATAAAAGATATAACATTATGCAAGATTTTATAAATCTGTTAAGCTGGTTCAGTGTGAAAAAGTTCTATTCGCTAAGTAAAAAACCTATTTCACATGCTCCATATTTCTTATTTAGAAGCATGTGCTTGTGCAGTATATAATGCTTTTCCTAGTTTAGGCAAATGATCTTTAAGGATAATACTGGATAGAACCTTAGATATGACTATTTTATTTTTCTAGCCATTGGCCTGTGTTGAATTTCGACTATATGGTCAGTGGCTGTGTTAGCTTGGGAATTCCAGCCCAATGCATTTGTAAAACAGCTACAATTGGTAATGATTATCCAAATTGCATAAGGCAGGCATGTATATTTCCCATTATCTATGAGCTGATTCTTTTTATATTAAAACTGATAAGATATAAAGTACAACAGATATAAAAAGTCTATATAGATAGTCCTCAGCTTACAACAACTTATTCAGTAGCCATTCAAAGTTACAGGACTGTTGCAGTATCCCCATGGTCATGTGAACACAATTCAGACACTTGACAACTGACTCATAACAGTTGTAGTGTCCCGGGGTTATCTAAACACCTTTTGTGACCTGACAAAATCAGTGGAGAAGCCAGATTTACTTACCAACCATGTTACTAACTTAACTGCAGTGATTCACTTAACAACTGTGGCAAGAAAAGTCATAAAATGGAGCAAAAATCACTTAACTGTCTTAGCAACAGAAATTTTAGGCTTAATCGTGTTTGTAAGTTGAGGATTACCTGTACACCTCTGTTAAAATGCCAGGTTTGAGATGTAAAAAACAACAGACCAAGATAAATAACTTCAATTTTTTTCCACCTTTAATATAAACCATAAGCTGTTCAATTGAAAAACAAACAAATTAGAGGGGAAAATAAAATTAAAGCACCTACAATAACATGGTTGCATAAGTGTACCTTAAACTAGTATTTTACTGAAGTATCTTCTGAGTTTATGACAGCATTCAGTCTTTTGGGGTAGGAATTTGGGAATTTTGCCCACTCCTTGCAAAAGTGCTCCAATCTATCAGATTGCTAGGACATCTCCTGTGCACACCTCTCTTCAGGTCACCCTATAGATTTTCAATTGGATTGCCTGGGCCATTCCAGAACTTTGATCATCTTCTGGGGAAGACATTCTTTTATTGATTTGGAGATATGCTTTGGGTCATTGTCATGGTGAAAGGTGAAAATCCTCTTCATCTTCAGCACTTTAGCAGAGGCCTGAAAGTTTTTGTGCCAAAATTGACTGATATTTGGAACTGTTCATAATTCCCTCCATCTTGACCAAAGCCTCCATTCCAGCTGAAGAAAAGCAGCCCCAAAGCATAATGCTGCCACCATCATTCTTCACTGCGGGTACAGGGTACAGAAACACACTGATGCGCAGTGTTGTTTTTACACCATACGTTTTGCAATTATAGCCAAAAAGTTCAACCTTGATCTCATCAGGACCATAAAATCTTTTCCCACATGCTTTTGTCAGACTTGATAATAGGTTTTTGTAAATTTAGCCGGGCTTGGATGTTTTTTCTTTAAAGAAAAGGCTTCCGTCTTGCCACCCTACCCCACAGCCCAGACATATGAAGAATATGGAAGATGGTTGTCACATCTAGTACACCATCAGTACTTTCCAGAAATTTCTGCAGCTCCTTTAATGTTAGATTAGCAGGAGCTAGGGTGAGGACGGGGACTCACCCTGTCGTGTGGAGCTCAGGTCTTGAAATAGGTACCATTTCGGTGGGAAGATAAGAGCATTCTGTGATGCCATGTTGGCCACATGACCTTGGAAATGTCTTCGGAGATCTCTGACTCAATGGCCTTAAAATGAAGATGAGTACTGTCCTCTATAGCTGACTGACGACTAATGGAACAAAATCCACAGGGACACCTTTTTAACCTTCATTGTTGCCGTAGATCTCTTGGCAGCCTCTTGGACCAGTTTCCTTGTTTATCAAGTTTAGAAGGGACATTCAGTTCTTAGTAATGTCACTGCTGTGCCATATTTTCTCTACTTGCAGATGACTGTCATCACCGAAGTTCCATGGTATATCCAATGCCTGGAAAAAATGTTTGTACCTTTCTGACTGATACTTTCCAATAAGATGCTTTGTAATCTCTGGAGATCATGGCTTTTGCTGTAAGAGGCAGAGTAGATGTAAAGAAAAAAATAATCTGACTAGAACAGGTGAACTTTATATGGGCTTGATCAGAGTCTAATTGATAGCAGGTATGTACAAGTGTGTATCGCCAACCTGTAAATGACTAACATCACGTCGAATGTTATTGGTTAATTCTGAACACTGACGTAGCCCTATTTCTGAAAAGATGTGCACACTTATGCAACCATTTTATTGTAAGTATTTTATTTTTATTTTCTCCCCCAAAAGACTTAGAATTGTTTTTCAGTTGTGCAGCTTATAAGTTGTATTAAAAGTGGAAAAATTCTGAAGTAATTTTTCCTAGTCTGATTTTTTTTTACATCTCAAAAACCTGGCATTTCAACCAGGGAAGTGTAGGCTTTTTATATTCACTGTATATATCTCTATAGAGATATATGCCTTAGACACCCACCCCCAATTTCTGTCTCGCCTCAAACACATTAGGAAGTGATATAAGTTACATGCACATATATGTAACAAACCACAATGATTTTTGGATCTGAACAAATGCAATCCTATTATATAAACTTTTTAACATGTAAGATAGGCACATTCATATAATAATTCAAAGGTTTTCTTTCTACTTTTGGGTAAGTATTCCTTGTTGGACACAAAGCCAATTGCGTTTTCTAATTCTGGTAGCTATTGATACACCTAACTTCCTCCAGTTTCACATTTTAAAGAGATATTGGGAGTACTGCAGCCATAAATTTCCCAATATGGGGCCTTGTGGATATTGGACTGTAAGTCCCACCTATTAGTTGAAAACTCATAATCTGACATTTCTAGAAAACATTATTTGGAAAAGGTTGGAGTAAGATCAAAGGAGTGAAAATGACTTTCCGTTCTCAAACCTTTCTCTTAGATACAGTAAAAGCCTCAATGTACACGTATTCCTCGACTTACAACAATTTGTTTAGTGACCATTCAAAGTTACAGCAGCATTGGAAAAGGGACTTATGATCATTTCTCACATGACAGTTGCAGCATCCCCATGGTCACATGATCAAAATTCAGAACTGGCATGGCAACTGACATGTATTTATGACGGTTGCAGTGCCCCAAGGTGATCAGCTCTTGTGACTGTCTAACAAGCAGAGTCAATGGGAAAGGCAGATTCACTTAACAGCCCTGTTACTAACTTAACAACTGCATTGATTCACTTAACAACTGTGGTGAGAAAGGCCGTAAAATGGGGCAAAACTCACTTAACAACTGTCTTGCTTATCGACAAATTTTTGGCTCAATTGTGGCTGTAATCTGAGGCCTGCCTGTATTAAATATGAAGAATTACAAAACTTGCTTCCTTATTTGGTCTGATATGATAAAGAGGAAGTTTTTTTTCTTTTTCGCAAAAATGAGCTCTTGTTTTAATTCTCAGAATCTAGTTTTATTTGCCCTCTAAAAAAAGGGGTTGATACGTTCTTTTTAGTTTGTTTGCTTATTTTTAAATGAGTGATAATCTGCTAATGTGAACAAACTGATAGTTAGCATTTTATCCTGCTATTTCTCCAGGAACTCCAGGCAACTTACATGAAGATAGCTCTTCATTTTATCCCTGCCACGTTCCTGTGAGGTAGGTTGGCCTGAGAAAGAGTGAGACCATGCGAGTTTCTACATATAGCTGATGTTATACTTAAACTTGCATCTCCCCTGTTCCTCTATTTTGGAATATTGATCAAGCAGCTGTCAAGGTACGAGAAGGGATTATCTAATTTAACATTTCCATTTGCTTTGGATAATAACTGCAATAATTTTCAGACTCGAACACAATTTGCTAAATGAAACAACAATTCGTTTTGACCATGACTCTTTGGTGATTGCAGGAATCAAAGCATCCATAACAAATAGCTGAGCAGCTTTTATTTGACCACATGCAACGATACAGCAATATATAGTCACAGCATAGCTCATAGCCGTCCAGAATATCCAGAATATTTTTGAAAGACACCTTGTAGCCACAATCCCATAATTAGTTTATTGTTGAAAATTTATAACTTCTACAAGATCAAGCTTTGGAGAATTGCAGAATTTTGTCTGCTGATATAGTGGATTCAACTTTCGTGTCTCCATTTTTGGGCTAAAGGTTCCAAGAATAATGAAATGGATGAAACAAGGAAACATATACCAGCCAAAATGAAGGAACATGCATACGTCTGTGTGTAATCATACAGCCAACCTGTAAGTAAGAGGAACAGCAGGATTTGGTTATTAAATCATTCTCATTTAGTGTAGTTGTCTTTTCATATCATTACTAAAGCAACACTTTTAAAAACCACGTAGGTACCTCAACAATACTGCATTTGCATCATTTAACCTAAGTGGCAATAAAGATTATGTTTTATATATTAACCTACCTTAATTGGTTTAAATTGCAGGAGCTGATGTCTTATTCCAAGGTAAATATATTTCATTCCTTTAATTTTCTTCATGGCATGTTTATTAAATAATTATCTGTTTCAGTTTTTCTTTCACCAGTCAATTTTTCTGCTTGCTCAGTCTCTCTGTATTTTAGGATCTTCTACTGAACCCCACATTTGACAGCAAAGAAGGGATGGAGGCTTTTTGCAGTAGTATTGAGCTATGGAGTACTTGAGTGGTGCAGAAGATACTGTCTTGTGTTCAGACTAAACATTCCTATACACCCACATATAAGGATATTTTTAATTTTGGTGAATTTTATGTAATGTATATAGAATGAATTCTGGTTATACTCTTTGTTACGTTGCCTCACAGACTTTTAAGTATTAATAATTTCGAAAATGGGCAAAACACATCTTTTGAAAAAGCATATAAATTCATAGAAGTAATGTACTATTATCCCACCCCTAACATTTATAGAACCAAGTGATCTCTTATTTGGTGAGATCCCATTGGTGTTCGCATGGTTACTTGGGAATAAATCCCCACGATCCCATAGCAATTACGTTGTGGAGGATTTTCTTGTTCTGGCAAACTATTAAAATTTACCACCAGAGGGCTTGTTCCCACATTGAAATAATATGGCTCATATTTAAAGCACTCTGGAGTAGATCCTGCCTGAAAACCTATTGATTCACAATTATGTGGTACTTCTATGTATTACATATATGAATTGGATTACTAGGGGATCATAAGATTTTTGCCAGTCTAGTTCTCTTCATTAAAATAACGGTCATATTGATGCTTCCTGTATGCAGAAAATAGTCCCCCCCTCTCATAATTACTCCAATTCTCATACACAACAGTATCTGAACAAATTATTTTTATCCCTCAAGGCTTAATACCTGCTTTTCATAAAAACGTAGATTCAAACTTGAATTTGGCTATAAATGTAACCTTCTGTTTGTTAGCTTGGCTATTTTGTGCCAAAAACTATGATTTTTTTTTTAATTTAAATCTACAGCAGATAACTTGCACTGAATGAGCTCAAATATTAGAAATGAAAGAATTTGCCCATTTACTGAATATACATATGAAATTCTGACCCTATTTTTTTGAAGTCTCAGTGCCTTAACATGGTGTATATGGACACGTTCGTATTTCTGATTATTTCACTTACTCTTTTCTGTTGGTTTTAGGGCTATGAAATACCTTCTGAAATGTCTCCAGATTATACCAAATGATGTTACCTACAGAATTATTTAAAAAGAAGTACTTGCCATTTTGTTTTCAACTCTTTTCCTATTAAATCCAGTGTTCATGTTTAACTTCCAATGCGTATTATAATGAAATGTTTACCTCGGGTGAAAATCTTTGCAGTTAAGCCTCTACTGCTTTAAGAATATAGGTTTTGTTGGGCTCAAAGTATATAACTACGTAGTTTAATTGCTCATTTATTTTTTAAAAGTTCTTCTGCTTTAGGTTTCATTATCTTGAATCACTGAATCCACATCCAGTGTATACTATTAATCCCTCTTAGGTAGATAGGATGTATGGATACAATTGCAATATAAAACACATACAAACTTTACAATGATTGTCTTCTGGAAATGAATCCTGTCTCACTAGTACTTCTCAGTATCCACTTTGACAACTTGACCATACTCCAGAAAACAAGACGGCTTTGGTGTTACCATTTTTATTGCTAGCTGCTAAGGAAGGACTAATAAACAGATTTAAATATTAACACTCACAATAATTTACTAGAAGTTTTTCAAGAACTCTAAATTATGTTGTCATGTAGTTATTAATGTGTTAATTTTAAAACCTCTTACATTTTTTCTATTTGGCACAGCTCTTCAGAGGCAGTCCCTGCCCCATTCCCTAGAATATGCTTCAGGTGTGGGTCCCACATTAACATCTTTCACAGTGAAGACTGATGCAAAGATCCCAGGTAGAACCTCTCCAATTTCTCTGTCCTCTTTCTGCATTTGTATTACAAAGGTATTAAGTGTCTCTGGTTCATTTCCTATCTGTGGTCAATTCAATAAACATTCTTTCCTCATCTGACATTGGTTTTATCAAAACTTGCATCCTTATTTTCCTCATGGGTGCTAAAAAAAATATTAACAATTGTTGTTTCCCTTAGATTGTTAAATTGCTTTGAGCTTCTATTATAATAGCTTTAAATAATCCTATTAATTAATTTCTTTACCACATAGGTCATATCATCTCAAATTAAATTTGAGAATTTCACAGCCTTTTACAATTGAATAATCTTTATGGCTTAAATACCTTAAAGATTGAAAAAATATTATCCTTAACCTACAAACATAGAAGCTAAAATCTATCTGGGTACTTTCAACTCTTTTTTCATAATTTCAGGGACGCATCTGTTTGGCTGGCAGATATTTAAGATATAGATTTTGGCTGTTGTGTATGCCCATAAGGATTTTTTTCTTAGGAACAAAGCTACTCATTTAGACCTTCAGGGAGGTAACTTGTAATAGTAGAAAGGAAAAATGCTCTGATATCTATTAACAAAAGTTTAAAAGGAAATTATAATGTAAAAAAAGATAACTTTAGTACAAGCAGGAATTGAGCAGTGAAGAAATAAGGAAGGTAATGGTTTCTTGTCTGTAGTAATTGTGGGTGATAAATTCTATTATTCTTTACACAGCACTGTCAACATACCTGGCATTTTATGAACAGAAAGAAATCTCTGCTCTTTATTAGAAATAGATTTAAGGGTGATGAAATGAGGAAAAGAATAGATGAATATTTAAACATGAAATGTAACACTAAGTACTACATTGCCGAATTGTACACAGGTACTTTTATTTTTCCTTTCTTTACACTTTTGATAGGATTTTTCCTAAATGTAAAAGCATATATAAATCACATTATAGTTTGTATTTTGAAAGAAAAATACAGTGCACTATATGGTCAGAAGAATTATTTTTTCAAGGAAAGAAAATGACAATTGTGTTACCTGCTATAGGAGGTCCAACAATAACTCCAAACCCAGAAATGAATGAGGCAAGTCCCAAGGCACTGTGAAATCTGGCTGCACCTACAAGATCTACCTGTTAAACAAACCAATATTTATTAGTTCTTGTTTCTGTTATAGTGATTAAAAATGATCACATAATGTTACCTGCTTCTATTTGTGATCACTAAGCTCTTAGTAACAAATTTGTGCCACAACTGGTGGGGCAGGTATGTGACATATTTGGACAGAGTTTAGTGAGGCCTTGCTCTACTTGTAAAAATAGTCACCTGTATTATGAAAATACATAGAAGAGAAAAATACATTGAAAATATATTCTGATTAAATAACTAATATATTTAAATTAAAGATAAGGAGAAAAAAGCCCCCAAGGATCCATATAAATACATACATAAGTATATAAAAATAATTCAGTCATTAAATTTAACATTAACTCTGATTATATAGCAACAAAATATGTCATCTCGTTTTTAGAGCATAGACTTTCCAAAAGTAGATTCAATGCCTGTCTTTTCATTCCTTAAAATCGCAAGAGTGCCTTTCCACCTATTTAAGATTATATTTTGTTGTATTCTAAGTTTTGATAAAGTCATTTTTATATTGCTATAGATACCTTTGTTATAATTTAATAAAATTATAACACAGCTATAACAGAGTAAAATCAAATAATATGAGTTAAAGAACTTAAAATTTCTTAAATTGCCAACATTAAAAGACAAAAAAGTCTTATCTTTTGTTAAACATTCATGCACACCCATTTTAATAATGTATAAAGATGAACTGTTGGTTTTAGCTTATGAACAGAATCTCTTAAAGAAGCTAAAATTTCAGATGTCTTGGAGGCTGCCAAAGCATCCTGCTGATACTGATAATACAGATTTCAGTTTTACATAGTACAAAGTATATGTTGAATGCAAATTGAACTCAAAAGACAATATCTCAAAATTTTTTAAATAGCCACTAAAATTCAACAAAAAATTAAAATATTAATTCCTGTTAGCCCAACTATTCCAAAACAACTTCCTCTCTATGAATTTCAGATTTGAACTATACCACAATGTCAATGTGTTATGTGATTTGGGATCACATTGTAGCTCCTTGTCTATTAATAGCCAAATATACCCAGATGCTTTCAAAGCAGGAAATGGAAGTCCCTGACATCTGACTACATTTCACAGGTATTACATCTTTGCTTTTTTGTTTTAAAATATAATAAGTCTCATTCCACAAAAAATAGATGGAAGATAAAAGGTCAATGACATAAATGTTTTAAAATACATTTATCAAATTTATATAGTCATTCCATCTCTTTGAGTCTAGGCCAGTGGTGGCAACCCTTTTTGGGCTCCTGTGCCAAAAATTGTGCACACGTTTGCATGCTCGCGCTCGTGTTCCAGCACCCAGAAGGCAATGCACGCACCCCTATGCCCCCTACACATGCGCGCGCAATCTCACTCCCCACACACTGCCACTCCCTTACCTGCACTGTGCCTCACAGATGATTTTCGGCTGGCTTGAGGCCTTTTTCAGCCTCCCAAAGGCTTGAGGAAGGCTTCTGCAGGCTTTGCAGGCCAAAAACTAGGCCCATTTCGTCACTTCTGGTATTTCCGGAAAAACAGGAAGTGACGAAATGGGCCTAGTTTTCGGGCTGCAAAGCCTGCAGAAGCCTTCCTCAAGCCTCTGGGAAGCCGAAAATCAGCTGTGAAGCACGCACATGCGCAGTGAGGTAAGTTTGCCTGCAGCTCGCATGCTGGCACAAGTGGCTCTGTGTGCCACCTGTGGTATGCGTGCCATAGGTTCACCATCATGGCTCTAGGCACTGTTGAAAATCAAGTAGGTTAAGTTGTCCAAATATATTTTAGGAGGTTTAGCTTTCCATAAGCATTTCTCATTAATATATGAACTATTTATTGAAAATGTGCATTGTTTTCAGTTTCAGTGCACTAATACGAGATATGGTGAGTGGGTTGAAGAGGATTACAATCCAGGAAACTCAGGTTAGGAGGATGCAAATATGGTAAATGAATAATTAGTTTGAAGAAATAGCAATAGCATACCTTCAGTCTGGAGCTGCTTTCTTTTTAAAACCTAATAGTTAAGTTAAATATGTAATTTTAAAAACAGCATTTTTTTTGAGTCAGAGTTAACTCCTGGCAAGTGCCTGAAGTAGTGCCTACACTTTTCTTGGCAAGATTTCAGAAATGGCTGGCCATTACCATCTTCCTCGGCAGACTAGTTCCCAGCAGGACTAGAACTCACAATCTGCTTTCTAGCCTGGCACCTTAACCCTTCCACCAAAGTAGCAGTAACCTAATAAAAATATTGGCCCTAAGATAGTGCAGATCATCGTCTATAGAGATTCTCAATCATCCAGGTCACATTTGTCCCAAAGGTGCTTTTCCAAAAAACAGCTATCTTGGGGGAGTGGGGTGTTTTCTTGAAAATGTTTCACTTCTCATTCAAGAAACTTCTTCAGTTCTGACTTAAAACTGAAGAAGCTTCTTACATAGGAAGCAAAATGTTTTCAAGGGTAAAAAAAACCCAAGAAAGGGCAGATCAGTGCTTAACTAATAATAAATTAATATCAGTAAAATGTATTTTTGATGTTTGTATGCAGTTCTTTCTCTGCCTCCTAAATTCATGTTTCTGACTGGCCCTGAAACATGCAATTCTCCAGTTCTCTAGCATTGTCTGAATTGAAGCAAATGTCATCATTTGGAAATGTAAAGTGCTACTGTTCTAATATTTTCATTGTTCAATTACGTTTTTCCACTTACCAGCACAGGAATCAGCAGTGCAAGATATCCACCACTGAAAATGGCAAAAATTACAGAGTAACTCATAAGTAATGGAAAGGTTGTAGCCAGAGGACACAGCAGATTAGTGAGCCCACAAAGAATGAGGTATGTTTTATGGTAATGGTATGTCTTAGTCCACTTTTGATTAGCAATCCAGCCAGAGACTAGTAAACTGACTGTCTCTACTATCCCTAAAAGAAAACAGAACAAAAACACATAATGATTTCTAAAACAGAATTCTTTGGGTGCTAAATAAGGATCAAAATGAAGGAACTGGCACTTTGTAAATTTCTAAAACCTATGTCATCAATATAGCACCTGTGGACATAAATATACCTAGCCATAGTATCTATGTCCTAGTATCAGATTTTGTGCCCTCTCTAATTTTATTTTGTATTATTTTAATTAAAACATTAATAAACAGGGGGGGGGAAACATGCTGCAAAACACTGCAAGGGGCCATATGGTAAATATTTATAAAGTGGTTTATAAACTGTCAAGTCTGAGGGTAACCAGATTGTGCTAATTCACATGAAACAAAAATAACCTGCAAAATGGGAAAAATAAAAATAATCACTCTGGCAATTTAGAATACCCTCTTCTATACTACTTACAGACTTGCTGGTAGATGCCCCTACTGCTTGGCTGTGGCCTCATTTGTCAGATTTCTTATCCAGGTGGTAAGTGTTCCATCCATTCATATTTTCAATTCAATTTCATTCTCAAGATTCAACACCAAATTCCTGGCATCTCTCATTCTCCCACATGTTTCAAAAATTGCCCAGTATGTTATATGGTAAATTCCTGGATGCTACAATGAAGCATCTTTTCATTATTATTAGACTGTTCTTCCCCCCCCCCTTTCCCCCCCCTTCAGCTCCACATTCAATTGACTGAAGCCCAGTACATTTAATTATATGAATGTTCAATACTACACTTTTGCTTTATTTTTGTTAGGCATATAAAGTTTTATTTCCATCTGATGCATTCATATCTGAGACATTCTGAACATTCCTTGTATGATTAAACTGTATAGTTATTCACAGGCTCCGGCCAATAATTTTATGGCAAAATGCGTTGCTAAATGAAATTGGAGTTTAGAATCTGGAGTAATAACTCCTAACTTTCTCCATCCCCCAAATTGCCCTTTGTTAAGTTCTCTTGCTACATAAGCTGCTTGATTTTGCCTCAAAAATATCCATCATTAGGTGTAAAGTGGATTTGGCTCTGACACCTCAGTTTCTTAACCCCTATTCCGCATCAGTGTTTTCAAGCAAAATTTAAAGGATTGGTTTAAATTGAAAATGAATAATAAAGTCATTTTAACTATTGGTTTATCTTTTAAGAAAAATATGTAATAAAGATGGAGTTTTGTACTGAGATTTTTTTTAATGCTAATAAAATTTAATAACATATTTTGTTGTTGTTAAGGTGGATTACCAAAACTTTACATAATTACAGAAGCACACCTTTGAATAAAATGTCTTGAAAGTTAAGCATAACCACATTTCATAAAGCTATATATTAAATATTTTTCCAGTGTTACATTGTAATTTCTTTTTCACTTCAGTATTTGTCTAATAATTGAGTTTAAATTTTGAATTTGAATCAACACACATGCCTTGATTTCTTTTGAGTTGACTTTTAAACTATAAACAATTATACATTTTGATGTGCTCCATATGTAATTAGTGATTACATAATTAATATCATGATTTGCATGGCTAAGCAATGGTGACATTTTACAAGAAACATTTTAAAAGTTGGAGATTTTTCTTACCAGCTACTAATATGATGTAAGCAGTATCCATTGGATCAATACCCAATGTTTTGGCTCTGGCTGCAAGGTGGAAAGTTGGGATAAAATAGGCAAGCTGACTGAAGAGAAAAGACCACGTGAAAATAAGGAAGAAGGGATTTTTCAGGTGAGAGACAACAAGATGGCATTGCTTCTGGATAAAAGACTGCACCCTGGATTTTCCTTCATTTGATCGGATGCAAATTTGATCACCAGTTTGGTTATCATTCTTATAGGCATCCACACAAGTGTTTTTCTGTGGCATTCCAGAAAACTTGTAGATAATTGAGACTAAATTATTAGACTGTTGCAGGTTGTCTGATTTAGCACATTCTTGATTGGGAAGATCCAGTATGTTCAATTCTCTGGTGCAGGTTTTATCTAGGCTGCCTTTGAAAGCTTCAGGAAACATACTTAGTACAACCATTTGGCCTTTACTTTTAGGACCTATGTCTCTAGTTTTTTTCTTATGAACTGGCCGTAGTAACAGGCTAGAAGGTACAAGGTTCAACATGATGCCGCCATATATCAATAAGAAACCTGAATGAATGGGAAAAGATAATATTTTTAAAAAATATTTTTTAAAAAATCATTACAGTCACAGAACTAATTAGCATATGGATAAATATCCCTTATACTGAACTTTTCAGGGCTATTTATTTTGGTAATTTTCAAGCAGTATCCAACAATCTCCTTATTCCCTATGCTGTATGGAATCTACTTTCAGCACTGCTTGAAATTATGTCAAAGCTTTTATTCTTGAAAGAAAAGGATAAAGATGAACACCATTAGTAGTAGATATGGTAAATATCCCTTAAGTAAATAACAATATTAATAATAATGCATTTGACAATTCTCAGAGATTGTCCATCTTACCACCCCCCCCCCCCCCCCGTAACACTGATGAACACCCTAGGCCAGTATTAATTTTTATATTTATATTAAGTGAAGTTTAAAAGAAAAGAAAAAAAAAGTTTTCTAGCTATTTAAAATCAACCTCTGTTTAATCTCTAAAATGTTATTTTGTTATTTTGTTATTCTGAGGTGACACATGAATAGAAATAATGTGGTTTCTAGAACTCTTTATAAAACTGTCCTGTCAGAAAATCACGGCAATTAAAATAGAAAATCTAAAGCACAATGTATCTTTCTTTTTGTATCAAAAGTAAGTATGCTTAAAGCAGATTTCTCACTTCATTTACATCACTGAGGAAACTGAATGACTGAAAGAGAATGAAAATTCAGTTATTATTTGACTGTAATGTTAAGTTTAACATCAACTTACTTTCACATATTAACAGTGTGAAGATATAAGAAATGAAGATGACTAACCTTGCCAACTGTACATGTCTATCAGGAATTGAACAAGTGGTGTTAGCACAACACTCAGCCCCATTCCCGAGCGGCCAATTGCATTGGCTAAAGCCAGATATCTCCTGAAGTACTTAACTGTCATGACGGCAGCTATCTGATATAACAGACAAAAACCCAACCCTAAAGAAAGAAAACTTCATGAGCAGGAGCAGAATCCTCTACACATTCTGTAGGAATGTGTTTTTATTTCATTTAATTAAACAAATAATGAATTGCACAAATATGCAATGCTTCCAGGTGGACAGTTCTTAACTCTGAAGCAATTGTGTTTTAAACTTTACTTCCCCTCCCCCCCAATAACAAGATAATTATTTCAAATGATGTTGTTGGAAACAAAAGAAAAAAAAAGATTGGATTGTTGACAGGTAGTGTTGCATACTAGAATTTTAATAGCCATAGACAGATCTCTAGTCTGAGGTTTGGTAAATTTATTTTGAATACAATAATCCTTAATTTGAAATGATGTCACCTAACATAGGAGTTATTCAGTTGAAGTAGTACACATTTAGGGACCATAATTCTGTGATATGATGTTACTATGTCAACGACTTAATCTTCTCTAGAATAAAATACATACAACATACATGGAAATCTTAAAACCCTGGATAATCCTTGTCTTATCAGAATCAACATCATGCCATCATGCTATATATAATATTGCAATGTGGTTAAATATCTGACTAGCTTCTTAATATGAAGTGATATAAAGGTAAGAATATATTTCTAACAATAGCAATATAACAAAAGCTTTTGTGGTATTTTATTTTTGTATCTGTCTCCAATACAAGCATTCAATTTAACCAAGATCTCTTAAAGTTTTAAAAACAATGTAAAGAAGTATGCTTGAGCACTCTCTGGCCTTGCCTCAGTTAAGCAGTTATTCATGCCCCTCAAAAGATGATGCAGGAAGGAACAAATTAAATATCATGCTTTTAAATATTCCCTAATTGCTTAAGGACAGAACACCAATTTAAAATAGTTGTAGTAGCATTCCATTTAACAGCCTCAATTTAGCAGCCTGGACTTAATGCACTTTTGGATCCAATTATTGTCCAAAATTCAGGCAGAAACAAGATTAAGGATGATGTGAATAGTCAACACAGTTGGCTGGCAGCATCATCTGACATTTCTTTCTATCCTGAAGTAGTGGAAAGTTTCTGGGGGGGCTTATTGAATATACTTGACATGGTTCACTTACCTGTTAGGAGTCCCATAGAGACCCAAAGAAAATGAATGCTTGTGGCCAGTGTGCTGATAAGAAAACCAGCACCAACCAGGAGAGCCCCTAACAAGGAAGTTTTCCGTTCTCCTAGCACTTCACACACTGTAGTTACCAGAGGTGCTGGAACAGAGCAGGTGGAAATTGGCATTAATGATAGCTCGAGAAATACTGCAGATACCACTTCTGGAACGGAAGACACTGAGGGGAAAATATTTAAGCTTTAAGGAATTATCAAACTACCTATTTTTTGTTTATTAAACCTACAATGGTTTTCATAAAGATTTTGATTTATGAAAACTACAGATGAGAACTCTAATGTGTGAGTTATAGTCAATAAACAAGATTGGCAAATGACTAAAACCAGATGGGAGAATAGTTTTAACTTACAGATATAGGTAGGGAGGTATTTTTAGAAGCACATTTGGCATTCTGAGTAAGAGTACCACCTCCCCACAGCTCTGGGCCTAAACTTGGCAAATTGGACACCAATCATGAACTGACCTTACACTGGCATAATCTCAGCACAGTCCAGTCAAATGCATTTAGGTATGTATTTAAAGAGACAGTACATTACACTAACCTGCTAGGAATCGAAGCGAGGACATAATGGAACCAATCCAGCTGACATGTTCAGAAGAGCCACCAATGTCTTCTTGAAAAGCCACAAAGAAAATGGCAAAGTTTTTCAGTGTTCCAATTACAAATACATTTACCTACAAAAATAATCAGTATCATATTAATTGAAATGTAAAATGGAGTATTAATTGGCACTCCAATGCAAAACTCTGCAGTGTTCTTCTTAAATGACCAGAGGATGAAACTAGGTATCACACTGGCAGATGCAACAAAGTCCAGCTAGTATCTGAACTGAGAAAAAAAAATTAAGGGAAGAGGAAGACCTTTGCTGAAAGCCTGTGTTTTTATCATGAATATTTTGAAACCTGTTGTGTTTACTAAAATAATGATGATACGAAGTATTTTTTAAAACATAAATTTTATGTCTTGGATTACTTTGCCTGAGCTATGATCTGTCAGCCTAAATAACATTACAGAATTTTGTGATGGTGAACAGAAGGGAGGAAACTGCAAAGTTTTCATACAAAAATGTGATAAAAATCAGGCTGAGTAGTCCCGGTTTGGCCAAGATCACCAGAAGAGATGAATTTGGATATAATGAGAACTCAGAGCTGATTTCAAAAATGGAATGCCCTTAGAACTTAAGTTAAAAAGGAAAAATATACCTGGAAGAAGCATTGGATACAAATTATAACATTATAAGAAGTCCTTGATTAACAACTGTTTGCAGTTGTGATGGTGATGAAAAAATAACTGCAACCAAATCCTCACATTTACAACCTTCCCAAGTCTGTAAAATCAAAGGAAATGTGAAGTAGATCATAAGCACAGTAGCAATTTCACCTAGTGATCAAGGACTGTCCCAACTGTCACTAAACGAGGACTACCTGTATGGGCAATTCCTGCTTTATGCCAGAGTTCTGTTGGAGAAACGGTTATATAGACTAGTTTTTGCACACCTAAAATCATTGCACAACCAGGGGTGGGATTCAACCGGCGTTACTACCGGTTCAGTGATTATGTTTTGCACAACGTATATACCACTCCATAGTGCTTTGCAGCTCTCTAAGCGGTTTACAGAATCAGCTTATTATTTTAATTCATAAGAATCTTATTCAAAATTCTTCAGTGAGGTTTTTCTTTTCTTCAGAAGCTGTTTGAAAGTTCAAATAACGTCGTCAACTGAACCACCTCTGTCTATATCCTGTCTACACACATTGGAATAATGCCCTCTCTCTTGTGCCTCAGTTTCTCTTTCCAGGCATGGCAGACAACAAATGAGATGGGATGAGTGTTTAGTTTGCTACGGAACTGACCCAGTGTCAGTGTTGCTGGTGATGGACCCACAATAGGGCAGAACATTTTTCAATCCCATTTCTAAAAAGAGAAAGGGACGTGGCTTAGGCACTGGGCTGACAATGGCAAAGCTGGGCCCGATTGTCCCCATAGGATAAGGTTGGCCATTAAAAAATATCCTTAGAAACATGATTGTGATTGAAGAAAGAACTGTGGTGAGTTTTTCTGGCTTTCACTTTACAATAAAATCAACCTCCAACTCAACTAACCCATCAAACCTGTACAGCCTATACTTTTCTTGGCATTGTCTAGCAGTTATGTGCTTCTAGTAAAATTCTAACCAGCAACATTTCCCTTGCTGCAAAAACCCACATTACAGTGACACAGAATGCAGACTATGCAGTGGTCATTTCTATTCTTTTAGAAATTATTTTGAATTAAATTATTATTTAATTCAGAATTACTTAGAATTATTTAGTTTCGACATTTGGATGATTTGCTTGCTGATCAATCCATTGTATCAAGAATGCCATTGGGTTGGTGCTATAATGCCATTCTCTCTTTGCCTTCAGTTCGTATCTCTCTCTGCCCTTCCCCACACTTTTCTCTCTCAGACTTTCACAACTTTCTGCTTTTTCTTTCTGTTTCTCCTATATATCACACAAAATATTTGGGCTTTTTGACAAAGCCCTTCGGCAGCCATCAATATTGTGGATCCCAGTATCCTTTTGAATCCCCCGTGAAAGCTTGGAATTGGCATTCCTTTAGGACAGTTCTCCTTTGCAATTGGATGAATCTGGTTGGTAGTAACAACGGGGTATCATGTGCCACAGATCACAGACCCAAAGGTATCCTCCCCCCTGTACTGCTTGCATCTACATAAAGTGTTTGGGAAAGGTCATCACTTAGTTCAAAGTGAGAGATGAGGTATTCAGTATGTTGGTAATGCTGATACCTAATTGTATATCTCCTCCTTCGGCCAAATGGGAGATGGTCTAATCCAATGCTTGCAGGTAGGGTGAAACTCATGCAAGGGGTGAGTGCCTATTTATTCAGAGGCCTAGTGATGTCAGGATAATACCATCTTTGATTCTTGAAATTGTACTCCTTCAAAGAAAACAGACTCATAATATTAGGGTTCTCCTGATTTAGAATTCCTGGTAAAATAATAGATGGCAGCCATGACTTGGAAATTTGCTCAGCTCTGGTTAAACTGCTAATTGTAGCCCTACGTGCAAGGATGCACTGAGGACACTTGCTCACACTCTTGTCATCTCGTTTACTGTAATTCACACTATATAGCACAGTACTATTTCCCTTTCTATAGGGAACTGTAACACACAACCAAAAGCAAACTTATGTCAGAGTCAACCAGATGTTAATTTTTTTACACCAAGAATAGAAAACCACCAGTTTTACAGATATTACTTTCAGCATGATCTGGAGAGGGATACCTGATTGGTATAACACATTCATTACCAAAAGTCAATTGTAACTTCTATAATATCTATCACTTCTATTTATTACCAAATAACTTATTATTTGGTAATAAGCAGCACAAGCTGCTTATTACCAAAGATAGCAGGAATTTCATGGATTCACATGTCAGTCTATGCCATTATTTACTCAATCATAGTTTGTTCCATAAGCCAAAATGACTGGCTAAATGCTAAAACCAAACAAAATAATAGCTAAGCACAGCACATGATTTCAATTAATAGATCTCCAATTAAATTCATAGTACTAACTCTAAAGAAACCAGCTCTAGAAAGATGCTAGTGTATGGATCTTGTACTACAATTTGTATTTTTATGTTTTCCATTCTGTTAAGAAATCCGCAAATGTTTGTTAAGTTCTTACCAAAGGGGCAACAATTCTTACCCATTCCTTAAGTTCTTTATATAGTTTTAGATTTTGGCCAGAACATGTTACAGGCCATTTAATCTGAGAAAAACCTCTCCTTCTTTCTTCAATATTTTAAAAATTCAACACACGTGATTAAAACCAAGTGCCTTTTGTATTTGTCATGACTTTTAAACAACATCAAACCACACTCTACATAGTACCAGTAACTTATCTGTTTCTTACTAGAAAAAAGTTGAGAACAATCAGCCAGCCCCATCCTCCATCAGGAATTGCTGTGCTATTGGGACCTTCGGTGTTTTTATTACTTTCCACAGAGTCTCCCTCCTTTTCTGAAGTCCAGAAAGTTGCTGCCATTGGCATTCTCAGAAATGTAATAACCAAGGCAGTCTGCACAATTGCTTTAATAGGTATGTGCTGCAGGCTTTCAATGTAATCTTTAACCAAATTTTTTAAAGGATGAAATATATAACCGAGACGGAATTTTAACTGCTATCTTTTTAGTTTTTTCCTCCTTTCTGTTAGCAAAGATTGGCGCTACTGTAGCTTGATGGCTCTTGCCAATGCTTTTAAGTAAACAAAGTAGGCCTTTAAAGTAGGGTTGCCAGGCATTAAAAAGTTTGTTTTATACTATAGCTTCTGGATTTTTAAAATGTGGGTCCTGACAAGTAGACCAGAATCTGATGAAAATAGCCCAAAGCCATTTCTTTTGTGGTGTGTTAATGTTTGCAAGACCTGTTGCTGCTTCCTCTTTATTTGCTCTCTTCTCCTTTTTCTGGGGCATACCATTGAGTTCAGTTTAGTTTGCCAGATCATCTGTAACAGTTTCGATCAGCAAGGGACAGAGAGAAGAACCTGATCACCTCTTCATCTTCTCCAGTGTAATCTTTCCCCTAGCTGCCTAGCAACAATGTAACTGAAGATTTTTTTATTTATTTAAAAAAAAACACCCTAGTATTTTTTAACAAGCAATTAAATGGATTGTTTAACTTCCCAGTAAATTTTGACATTTTGACATTAAAACTATTAAACGGAATTGCTTTAAAACGTTCTGCAAATATTCAAACGTTACTCCTGTAATGAGCTCATATTTCTTACAAGATGAACAGGACTTCCTAATAGATTTCTTTCTTAGAGTCCTGACCCATCAAAAGGTTTCAATGGACCTACACATTATTTGTATTCATTTTTGTTGTTAAACATACAAATCTATCCAAAATATAGTCGGTAAACAATTTTACAGATCACAACAGAAACTATAAATATGGTTGTAACTCCAGCAATTTAAACCAGTTTCCTATTTTCAGTTAGGTCCTGTCCTTTTAATTCAGCTTAAAGAGAGGTATGTTTCAGGCTGAATGCCAATTAGTTAGATTTTTAAAAAAATCATGTTTTTGAGATCCAGGCCATGATATTGCACTTTCTTTTATTTCATGGTTTTGATAGACTTTAAAACAATAATAGTCTGCAGTTTTACATTTGAATAATCAAAAGCCATCTCCACAAGCTACACATTGTCCTGACAGATGGTTATTATCAGCTGCAGCCCTTTAAAAATAATTGCTCAAAAGCCAAACTAATCCAGTGTTTTTCAAATTTGATAATTTCAACTCCCAGAATTCCCCAGCTAAGGGAATTACATGTCTAAAGAAGTCACTTTTTTGCTGATATAGTTTTGGAAATGGCTTGACACAAAACCTCCAGTACAGATTTGCAAAGAAAGTAATTTAACTTTCTTTTAATACAAAAAACTCCTCGGTGATTTGGATTTAGGATGTTCTTCTACAGTGCAGATGTCATATGGCAGCAGAGCCAAGGTTTGGTTAGGTATTTTATTCTTGGTGTCAATGCACACATCAAGACAGTAGTACTAGGCTGTAAACAATGGTTTACTGCTGTGGTTTGTAATTGTATACATACTTCTGAGTTATTTTCTCCTTTCTGCAGAAACTAATTGCAAGCTAATGAAGCCCTTTAGCTACAATGCCAATGTGTGCATTGCAGCAAGGAACAGGGAGCTTCAGCTAAATGTCCAAAGGACACAATACTCATCCAGATGTTTTCTTTCTCTATGGAAGAATGTCTTGTGTCCCAATCACATCCTTAACTAGCAATCAATACAGAAATAAGGAAATCTGTAGTCATCCACGTTGTCAACGTGTCAACATTTAAACTATCAATCTCATACTATAAAAAATAAAACATCTTGCCTGTTTTTCCCACAATCTTGGATGGTTTTACTATTATTTACCCTTACAATTTAAAAGTTGACAGGAAGGGAGCAACAAAATATTTCAGAATCTCATAGAAAGCCCCGTAAGCTTTCTCCTGTATACACTGGGGAAGGAAGAAAGTCTGAAAATAAATTGTCTCCACCCTCAAATGTGTTGTTGGGAAAGGAGTCTGAAGGGATATTGTTTATATTGGATTTTGCAGAGCTCTGCCCATATTCAAGAGAATGCACTCTTCAGCTATAGGTCATCTACCTCGGTAGCATATTTCTTTCAGAACTGCTGACGTGAGTATAGAGAGAGCAAAATCTCTATCCTGCAGCTTATACAGTAAATCTGTTATGTGCATCTTATCCATCCCAGTGATGTGTATTTATCAAGTAGCTGAGTTTGTTGAACTTATGAAGATGTGGTTGGCTAATTTGGCTCAGGATCTTAATGCCAATCTAACCAATGAAGTAGATTTCAGTTAATCAGAGTTCAGTACCCTAAATAGCATGTTGTGAAAATATATGGTATTTACTGTTTCTGGCCCTAATAATTCTTTGCCACCAGCTTCTATCTCCATTTTTTTAAAAAATGTATTTCCTTTGGCTAAGTAGACTCTCACAATGCCAAATAATTACTTTTTTGGCAGAAAACTAAGGGCACCAGATTTCTTTCAATAGTTTGCTGCTAAGTATTTTGATTTTGGAGCATCAGAATTTCAAGAGTAACTGAAAGAATTTATGTAGTTTTTACTTGGATAGAAAGTACTAGTAAAGTTGTATTAAACATGGCCCATATACCATAGGGGTATACCTTATTCTATTTTCTTGTTAATTTGTTTTTATTCAAACAGAACCAGAAACAGTCCCAAACCTTATTTATGTCCCTAGAGTTTAACTCTGATGAACTGTTCTCTATGCAAATTTACACCTTAAAATTTAGGACAAGAAACATCCATGTTTAGTATTAATCCTGTTGGTATGTTTTTAGTAGCCAGCACATAAAAGAATGTGATAGCCTCATCAACCACAATAAGATCATGACATTAGTTAATAGCTGGTTAGAGAAGTTCTCATTTATTTTGTAGATTACTCTTCAGAAAAGTGCAATGCAAAAACCACATTGCTGTTATTATCAAACTCAATACGCACAGTGGCAATACTTTTTGTGTGTGTTGCAAGGTGGCAATACTTGACCATCCTTGACTGGTCTAGAATGTTATGTTGATTTGGTTGTGATCAGTATTTGGACTGAGATAGGAAATCCAAAGCTATAGACTAGGGTGAAAAATTGAAAAGCATCTCAGTGAAGGCAGCCATGGCTCACCTATTGCATTTGACATCAACAAAGCCACATAAATATGGCCATGTTAGTTACCAAGAGCCAAGCTTGAGATGAAATAGACTTTTAGTTTCAATGGGCCAAGGAAGAGGACAAGATTTTCTTAACATATTCTTCTGCTACATAGAGGACTGTAGAAGCACAATATTTAGTCAACATAGAATACATTATTTGTCCTCAATAATTTTTTGAGTTCCTCTAACATTGGGGTTATCTGTTAAGTTGCTCTTTCCAGCAATAAAAAGTGCTTCATTACTCAAAAGATGAAATGATGAAAGTTCTGCACTCCGTACCAAAGTAGGCAAGTGAGGATGTTTACAGATTCAATTAGGTTCTGACTTCATGAGTCTGGATATCCCATGTGTATTAATTGGCAGAAGACAGTTCCACAGTGATTTCTTGAAGAGCAATGAATACTGTGAATGTGTAAGATTAAGATGCCATTTTATGTACTGCCACTATGATGCCATCATGCTTCTGGATCATGACATTGCTGAAAAACAAAACAAAACACCAAACAATAAATAAATAGATATGTTATAGACTTTTTTTAAAAGCAAACACACAATATTAATGGAAATAGTGCAGACTGGGGTTATTTATGATTGTATAATTCCTATAGTTACATAACTGATTGAACCTGGTATTTTATTTATTGAATTTATATAGCAATAGCACTTAGACTTATATACGGCTTTATAGTGCTTTACAGCCCTCTCTAAGCTGTTTACAGAGTCAGCAATCTGGGTCCTCATTTTACCCACCTCGGAAAGATGGAAGGCTGAGTCAACCTTGAGCCTGGTGAGATTCAATCTGCCAAATTGCAGGCAGCTGCCTGAAGCAGAAATAGCTTGCAGAACTGCACTACACTACCGAGGCTAATAATAATAATAATAATAATATAGCTACCAATCTCACTTGGACTTTGGGCAGAATATACAAAACAAAAAATTACACAATGAATACGACTTATACATTTAAACAGTTAAAACATTATAATAACAATAAAACATGGAAGAATACAATCAAATTTATACCAGCCATTTAATGGACTCAATGTTTCTCCCTCAAAGGGAAAATGCCCAGGTATAAGAATGTAACATGTTATATATGCAACTTGTATGCAAATTTCTAGAACCAAAAGAGGGGGGGGGGATTTTAACTTCCAATCTTAGTTTTTGGAAATCCTTATTCAAAATGGCAATGATGCAGTGAGGTCTGTTAAGTCATTTAACACAACAAAGGAAAACCACAGAATCAAATGGACATGCCTGCCCACGTTCTTTTTGGGAATTGCACTGCACACGTGTAATGGACTGGGCTCACCAACATTTATGGAATCATATATTGGTCTTTAAAACTGTATTAATTATACTTACCCAGTGTCAGATTCAAGACATACAACAGGAATATCTGTTGGATCAGAAGTTAATTTTGCCGCCTGCTGGGCCAAAATAGATATTACACCTGCATGCTCATCTGAGAGGGTGCCACGACCTAGAAGACAACTCTGCATCATTCAAAAGAAAAATGTCCTGTATTTAGGTCTGAAGAATAAAAATTTCCCCCCCAAATAATTAACTGCAAATTGCAGGAATTGTCTGGATTTCTTATAATATGTCCAGTTACTAGATGCAAAGTCAAAGTGCACTGAAGGACTGATACTGCTACATAACATTTTCAGAGATTGGTTTACTTTTTGGCAATAAAATCCTGAAACAGTTGGACTTTTGGATATGAACTAGCAAGTCTTTTCTTATGTCACTTACAGCTTTACAATTATTAACTGGACTTTGG